AATATGAAAAGTTGACACAGATAAACATGTACCACCCATTCTATACATTTGCATAATTATTAATATTCTTTCGTTTTAAAGTGCATTTTGAAAAGAAAACATTGCACTTCTTTAAACGGATGTTTTCCATTAATAAATAATACAAAATAATATAATTTAAACCAGTATATGTTTCGTAATAAGCTGCATCATATACAAATGTATTTCAATCTTCATTTAGATGTTTGCTGGTCGCGCTGAAGACCCGGGTTTGATTCTCCACATGGGTACAATGTGTGAAGCCCATTTCTGGTGTCCCCCGAAGTGGTATTGCTGGAATATTGCTAAAAGCGGCGTAAAACCCAACTCACTCACTCATTTAGACGTATGTTATATAGAAACGACCAGTAGTCTACGACCATGCAGTTGTATAGGCACGTGTTTGGACACACCAAATGGGTTCATGGGTTCGAATCCCGGTTCGCCTCGATTAAGTTTCCGTACTCGTTTCCGTGCCATATCCGTACTCGTTGGTGTCACCCGCGTTTGTTCACCCTGTATAGCACTTTCGTCTTTCTTCCCATATTAAACTCACTCACTCACACACTCAAACATCTTCCCGCTATATATGACGGGACAATCTAGTGACTGTTATCACGAGCCCCGATCTATATAATTTGGATACGATGACAATTTCCCGATAGTAGTCTCTTACGGCAACATGGGTTGCTGAGAACTTCTTCACAGGCACATACGTTATTAATGACAGTAATGATGAAACGAGCCTTACCTAACCGTAGCTAGGCAATGGCAGAGAACAGCCTTCTCACTCAGGAAAAGTTTATACACTTAAAACAAAAAGAACGTGAGACTGAATCTGTAGACTAACGCTTAGTCTCTGAATACCATATTCCGTACCATATCCGTACTCGTTGGTGTCACCTGCGTGTGTTCATCCTGTATAGCACTTTGGTCTTTCTTCCCATATTCAGGTTGACACGTTGTAATATAATATCACTCACTCACTCACTCACTCACTCACGCACTCACTCACTCACTCACTCACTCACTCAATCAATCAATCAATCGATCAATCAATCAATCAATCAATCAATCAATCAATCAATCAATCAATCAATCAATCAATCAATCAATCAATCAATCAATCAATCAATCAATCAATCAATCAATCAATCACTCACTCATCTGATACGATCCTTTATATTATAGTCCCGCAATTGTTTCTGGGTACATCTGTTAATACTTAACCCTCACACTGCACACTCTCACACTGAAATGTACCCGTGAACATCCGGTTTAGAATTGGTCTAACCAACCCATGCTTGTCGTGAGAGGCGACTAACTGGATCGGGTTGTCAGGCTCACTGACTTGGTTGCCACATGTCATCGTATCCCAATTGCGTAGATCAGTGCTCATGCTGTTGGATACTGGATTGTCTGGTCCAGACTCGATTACTTAAAGACACTAATATAGCTGGAATATTAGTGAGTGTGGCGTTAAACAACAACCAACCGACAGCCAACTTCCCCGATCCTTCAGCTGGCATGTAAACTAGATTCTCAACAAGTGAAAAGAAAACAATGCCAATTTTCTTTATAATCTTTTATTATTCTGAGAAGAGGACACAAACACCTGCAGTAAGAACTGCTATAGTATATCTATGGTAAATAAGGTGCATATGCAATGCCAGTATCACATTCGGGTGGAATCGTCAACTATATACAATGAATTTTAACAGTATAATAATACAGGAAGGTCATAGTTCAAACAAATATCATTATTACTATACATTATAACACAAACGCTACCATGTAGAAGAGTACAAAATTGTCATCATCATCTTCATCATCATCATCATCATCATCATCATCATCTTCATCAGTATCGTCATCTAGACCTAGTGTTCTAGACATATCGTAACATATCATTCGTCATTTAACCGGACGTGGTCATTGCATAATATACTCAGTAAAGTGGACATTAGCTTATATACATGAATTATTTACACAAATCTACAAAGATGTCTATGTTGCTATTTATTGCAATGTAGTAAAAAATGGTATTGAAAAGGAATACCAGAATTTGAAATTTTCAAACATCGAATTTTTCAATTTGAACATTTCAGTTGATGACAACATGCTGCATCTTTGCATTCTGTTTTTTGAGAAGTGAAATTTGGGTAAAACACATTTCCAGAGAAACATGCACAGAATCAGAACATGTTTTCATGTCCATTAACTGTAAATGGCATTCACTCTCACGTCATTGCAGGTATGACTTTACATACGGGATTGTTGGACTCCGTTTGTCAGTAGCGAGATGCATTGTCACATTGTCCAGTCTTGAAATCAAGTGAAGAGTTATCTACCCTCCAACCCTCATACGGAGCTGAGAATCGAGTAACGATCTTCATGATGTAGGAACGTTCAGATAACCTAAATAAAGTGTTGTCACATTGCACCAAAGACGGGGTTCCATTCCCCTGCATAAGCATAATGTATGGAGCCTGACTTAATAATTACATTATTGGTGTCACCTAATCAACCAGGGTCTAAATTCACGAAACATTTACCGAGGTTAACCTTAACTCCCATTCTTTAACATTGCACTAAGGTTACCTAAGTGACTTACGGGCTTTGCGAAAGGAGAACCTGATCTTACTTTTCGCTACTGCTGAACAAGCATCGTACTACATTCCATTACGACCTTTCATCTAATATGAGACATTTTTCAGACATTTAGACTGTTATCAAATTTTGACTCAATAGATTGCAAAGGAAAGACTGTAATATAGATGTCGGTTTGACACGATTGCGGTAAAACTCAACAAAACTACCTGCTGACTGCCTAAAGTCGACTGCTTGTTAGACATCATAATTTATGTTTGTTCAGCGGTGGCGAGATTGCGTGATTTGGCTGGAATATTACTGAAAGCGGCTTAAAATCCAAATCACTCACTCAGGTTTATCCAACAATTAAGTCATTAATTCCTGAATACAGTTTTTGTCTGACATGTTTGGTCAGTTTTTGGTACTAATTGAACCGGTTTTACTGATGAACCTTTGGCGTTCACCATAATGATCACCCCACACGACAGAACATTGAAACCAGAATCGCTATTGGTTGTTGCGTTTAAACTGTTGACATGTTCTGAACACACTGCTGTGGCTAACGTTTAAAAAGACCATAAAACATCGATTTGGACAGAATATTACTTTCAGATAAATGGTCCTTTTGTCAATAATATAATGCGGCATAGATGTCAATGACATCATATTATAGGTATGAATCAGCCATACGTCATAATATATAAACCTGTCCTTGTGCTGTTATCGTTTAGTTAAGTTATTTAGACAGAATCTCAGATTATACGTCACACGCGTGACTTGTCTGAATCTATATTTTGCACAGTGTACTTTATTAAAGTATTAAGTGGGGTAACATATAAAGTACTTTTCTGACAGCTCTAATGATGTTACTGAACCCAAAACTACACTACATGAGTGTCCAAGGGAAAATATATCTCACCTCAATAAACGAACACCGCCATGCATACAAAGATTAACGGCAAGGTGTGTCCAGAATGCTGAATCAATAATACATGTTTTTGTGTATCTAACATACAATTTCAATACTTGTTTCAGAGCTTGGCCAAAATTTTGAAAAATCTAAACCTCTATCCACAGCCTGAATTAATCCTTATTTGGGCACTTATTGCCCTCCTTGTCCAAAACGATCTCTAGGTGCTACCAATGGCATGGGGCCAATGAGTTATGCGCCTTGGCCGTGTCAGTATGTACAGAATATGAAATCAAATCTGAAATTCACTCTGGTTATGTATTCAAAATACAGTAAATATCCACAACCTGCGTCACTCTGGAATATATAATTTATATTCTCACATTAAGCCGATGATATATCTACAATACTGTTTTCGGCGACTTTGTACGTCACTCAGTCACTGTGAAAATCATTATGAATTACTAGTCACTACTAAAACAAGTAATGATACATATAGCCATTTATAAGAGAAGTATACGTAGCAGCTTTGTTCACCATGTGTGTTTGTACAGCGAGTAGAAGAGTCCCAGTTATTCCCGCCCGTTGTCTTAACGGCTGTCCTGGAAAGAATGCCTTCTCTCAGTCTGCATGTTAAATTTATTTAAGGTAGAAGATGACGGACCTGCGCGTAAATTCTTTGTTGCATTTTTAAACCATGTTAATGAGTGAGTGAGTGAGTTTAGTTTTACGCCGCACTCAGCAATATTCCAGCTATATGGCGGCCATGTTAATGAATTACAAAGAGGATGGTCAATGTCTTGACACTCAATGGATGTTTCGAATAGGAAATGTAATTCTACAAGAAATCTGGTATTCTTTCGTTGTTCTGAAAGGGTTTTACATGGAGAATGATGAACTTAGTCCAATGAAATATTGAATTTAGTTCAGAATCGAACTTCAGTTAAACATGAAACAAATTTACATGTTTGACAAACATTAAATGTCAATGCATAGTTTACCTTGAGAAATCTAATGTTTGCCTGAGAAACCTATGATACTGTTGCAAATACCGGCCTGCAGTGCAGTAGAACACTACACAGTATTGTGGTATGCAGTAGAGTTCATAGTAGTGTACATATAATGACTTCCCCACTGGATGTCAGCTGGCCTAATGTGGCAATACCCTCAGACATCCGTCAAAAATGAAAATGAAATTTCATTAGCTTCTATATGTATTTGGAAAGAATACTAAATTAAAAGAATGATAGATGAACTTTTTGTCAGTATCATATCATGAGATTTAATAAAATTTGTTTTTCAGTAAGGACATAGCAAACTGATTGCTTGTTGGTCAGATGTATCTTTAATTTTTAAGATAAATATATCTTTTTGTACTGTTTTGTCTGGAATCTCAATCTAGAGGAGGGTTGGTGGGTTCTTTTCTGTTTAGCATTGATGATAATATTGGGCTGTCTATGCCAAGTATTTTCAGGGAAAACGTAAAAACAATTCGAACGACAAGATCACAATAGCCACAGTAGTCAAACTGACCACCCACATTAACCATACTCAAAATATCTTGGTTAGAAAGTCGAAATGGCCTCAAACCAAACGTCAAGACAGCTACTTCAAAGAGCACTTTTAAGTCATTAGTAGACGGCTGCAAAATACACTTTTCGAATTTGACCCCTGACCTCTTCAACGGCCTAGTATGCCACCATTTCATCACAAAACCATATTATATCATTTCCATTTGCCAAACCATATGGATCAGATGCCTCGATGATTCCCATTATCCCCAACCTAGTTGTCATAGTTTCTCAGGAATACAGACACCGGGGAGAGATATTTGCATTCTTGTATGTCAATAAGGATGGAAATCTTAATCCACCTGAGTTGCTGTCCATCTGCCCTAATCTGAAAGAAGGGCGATGGGGTAGCCTAGTAGTTAAGGCGTTCGCTCTTCACGCCGAAGACCCGGGCTCGATTCTCCACATGGGCACATTGTGTGAAGCCTATTTCTGGTGTCCCCCGACGTGATAGTTCTGGAATATTGCTAAAAACTCAGTAATCTGAATGCACACTGTCAGTGACGACTGAAATGTACTCGGAAATCTGTAAGTACTGTCAGATATGCTATGAACTAATGTACCATGTGATGCTAAAGCGTCAACTACTATTGATATTTGGTATTAACTGAATAACAATATAAACAACATGTAGGTATATTGTTTATGATTAGTACGCGGCAATTTTGATTTTTGTGTGCGGCCGTGTCGTCTATTTTACCTTTTTATGACGTCATTTGGACCAGGGGTCTGTGGCTATTTTGACTTCTTTGAAACACATCGTGACCAACGCCATTGTGGACAACTTGACCATAACCTGTGATTTTCAAAATACCAAATATAATAACCTGTTCTCTGAAAGAAAATCCAGGAACAGTTGTTGTTTTGTACATAAAGAGGGTAGAATGAGAAGAACAAATGATACACTGTTGTGAATATGTTGAGGATAAGAATTTAGCTGATCACTAATCATCGCCAGGATATGGCATTCCATATCACCTGTTCATTCTAGTAGAGAATGACAATTACATTTGGCACGAAAATGCCATGCCATTAATGACATTATTACCGCAATAACGTCCTATACGTGTAATGTCATTCTCATTAGTGCATATATATTATCTACGTATAAGGATCTCAGAGTTACAGAAATGTAAGGCATTATGACAACAATAATCATTTCAACAAGAAATAGTGGAAATTCCTGAAAAGAATATTTTCTAGAACAGGAACTGTTCAGACAACATTCTAAATGAAGCTGGTAAAAAACAACCCTGTGCAGGCTTATATTGCATTAGAAGAATAATGGGATATTTGACAAAAGACTACACATTCCTGGGTCCTGGTATGTGCCTCGTATCACACATTGATCTCTTCTTCCGAGTTGTCATCGCGGCTCAGAGGTATGTGACTTGTGTTGTGACCTCGAAAGTCTGCAACAGAACATTCAGAATGTGAGACACAAAGTCAATATATTTGTAGACATTACATTTTGGGACTCACCGATTTCTTTATGCTTTATGTTTGATTTATAAGTGAATACCTAATATTGATATTTATTTTATTATGGTGTGGCTCAGTGTATTCTTTTTGTCCTTCCTTTTCTTAATAACTAGTTAACATGTACATGTGACACATGTTGTCAAGATCAGTTATGTGATTTACCGCGTGTTAATGCTTGTCTGTCTGTTCTACTTTTGATAAGCTTTCAGTACAGTTTGTAAAACAATCATATTGCAATTACCCAATTCAGATAGATTTGAAAAATCTTTTTTTTATGTTTTTTTAACATTTTATAAGATGAACTGTTTTCAAATATTCTCCTGTTAATCTGTGTTCGACATTATATACATTAAGAGATGCCATATGGAATAGATTACATTGGTAAAAGATTCATTTATAAGTCGTTTACGTTTAATTTGTGTCTTCTTCAAATGTCCATAGACTGTAACGGATAACACTAATAGTAGATAACGCATAAACATACCTGTATACGATGATATCATTGTGTACATACTCACATTTACGACTGTAAGATGTAAGCCGTCATCACTATTTCATTCACGCGTGCACTTACCTATATTACCTGTTGTGAGATGTAAAGCCAAATTATAAATATTTAATTCACGATTGCACTTACTAACATTACCTATTGTGAGATGTTAAGCCAAAATATAATTATTTCATGCAGGTTTGCACTGACAAATGATATAAAGTAAGATGTAAAGTGAAAACATAAATATTTCATTCACGATTGAACCTACATATATTTGCTATTGTAAGATGTAAGAGAACCAAAACAAAATTTTTGATTCAGTTTTCCTTTTTAATAACACCTCTTGCAAGACGTAAAGAAATACACTTTATTCCTTTTCAACTTATTAGAAAAATTGTCCCACAAAAAGAAAACATTCAAATTGTTAGTAATGCTTAAATAGAAAAGAACACCCTCTAACAAATGATACACTTCACGGAAAGTACGCCCTGTGCTTTACGCGGTAGCCTTAACCTTCGCCGTAATCTTAGTGCCACGATGCGCCACCGCCGACCACGTTACCATCAGCAGATGCTATGTCAAAACACGGTCTGTCAAATAAAAGATTAAAATCCTATTAAAGTGCAAAAGAAGAGCAGCAAAGTGTACCAAACGGTCTTCGTAGCGAGGATAAACTAGAATAGATAAGCAAACAAAAAAAGGCTCATGACATATTTGTCATGGATGTAGTAAAACAGATCTTAAACTGGCACCCGTTGTCTGTTCCGTACAGACCTTTTCACCAGTCTTCTACTCAGTCAACAAGCAGACCCCAACTATAGCTGGCCAGTTTTTTAACCCTAGTTCGAATGCAGGAATGGTCCCTGTGAGCGGTCATCAAATAATTATATCAAACGTATATTCTTTTAAGTATGTTGGGATGTAGTTTTACTAGGTGAGACTATGCTCCACGGGTCTAGTCCCCGATTTGTTGTCAGTTGTAATTAAATCAATCGTTGACAGTTTCACTGACCTCCATCGTAAAATGAGCATTCTAACAATGTGTTCTTAACGATTGAAATAAGATGTTCAAAAAACATAGATGGACCCTCGCCAATCTCCCTTTATTACGATTTATTCTAAACTTTGAAAAAAATGTTAATTTACATTTACTGTCCAAAAGTGTTTACATTAATTGGCAAGTGCTCGGTGGCTGAGTAGTTACGAAGCGACAACACGTTCACCAGTTGGTCCAGGGCCTTGATTTCCCTGAAGTGTTCTCCTTTGGTCAGAGGATGAATAATAGAAGAAAAATAGTCCTCACCACTCACCACATAATTGCTCCCCCTCGTGTACCCAGGTGTACTACGAACTGAGGCTTTACTGTGAAAACTAGCTCTACGTGCTTCTTCCGACGCAGCTCTATCATCTTTGGCTGTCGCACTTAAGAAACCATCGTTGACGTAAAACACGTTCCCATTTTCAATATTTTCAATACTATGACTTCTACGAGGGACCGTATGACTTCGCTTCCAAAGAACTTTTTTGGGCTTCTTTTTCTTAGTCTCTACCTTTTTGGCTGGTTTTACATCAATCTCAATCGCTTCGTCCACTTCCGTTTCCTCTTTTACGTCATTTCCGTTTTCGTCCTCGTCTTCGTCTTCGTCTGCCAGAGCCTCTCTGAAGAGTTTGCCATATATTTCGTCCTCGTATATAGCGTTTTTACCCAGTGTACTGATCAGCATTAGTGATGCGAATGATGACATGGCGGCTATTGTTGCATTATGTCGTCCTTTGCCATCTGAAATCAATTATATCTTTAGTTATGTAGTCTTTGGAGAAAGTAGGTCCATTCTGTCTTGAAGCACAAGGACTTCATTTGTTTTTTCTTTTGTTGAAGTTTGTGTCAGTAAGCTTTTTGAAGATGAAAAAAGTATAAAAACTAGAATGAAGTCTACACATTGGGTATTTAAGCGAACAAATAATTGATAAATATTCTTTTAGTCCACGTATGAACGTTGTATACAGCATTTTGAAAATGGAGCCCTATCAGATTGAAAAAAGAGGAAAATGCTTTATGTACAAGTGACTTTTGTGGAAATTGTCAGAGGAGTCCATATCATTACAGTTACTATTATACATTACCAGGTATGATTGTTTTATTCAGGTAATTTCCCTTAACATAATGTAATGTGTTTCTGCTAATTGTATAGTTTACGATGATTCCATGTTAAAGCTGTATTTTCTTATACCTTACCATTATCAGATAACTTATTCTGAAATCACGTGAAGTTGTCTTCTAATGTGCATCTTCAAACATAAGCATTGAAAGCTTTTCCATAATACCGACTATAATCATAAGTATGTGTTTATTCATAACTAAATAGTGACGGTACTAGCAGTTCGCGAAAAGATAAGCGTATCCTGCCCTACAGGTACAAACGCTGTGACCCTCCTGCTTGCTAATGTCCTAACGACACTTTTAAGCCCTGCATCTTCGATGTGAAGAGAAGCAGTTGAGATGCCTACCAACCGAAGATAACACAGTGTCAGTCTTGGGTATATGTGTACAAATGCAGACGTGTTTTGTGACGACATTGTTCATCGTTACTTCGGTGTGTGACGGACCCTGAATCATTAAGATGCAAAAACCAATAATTATCTTGTAAATCTATCCTCAAAAAAAAAAAAAAAGGTTAAGGACCACCCAATATTCAATATCTAAGTATTTTATGGATCATAATATGAACAATTAAATACTTAAATATTGAAAGTTGATTTTGTTGAGTATATAAAAAAATGTAAAGATTCATTTTGGTTTATACTTACAAACGCATGCTGATATTTCAATCTCAGGGATATCTCTGCTTTTGCACAGGGCGACTAACAACTGGACATCTTTCTGCAACAACATCATACCAACATCAGCAATCTGAATGCAGAATGGTAATTACTAGCAAAATGTAAAATGGTACAACGTATCCAGATACAGCTCGCCATTACTTGGCATACATCACGTTTACTTCAGACAATACAAACCACAAAATATGTGCTGCAGGTCCATTTCTAGCAAACTGTGTTCCTTTAATAAAATCATGACATTATTTTGCCGACCACCGGACAAATTATTGCTTTCCTCGACAATACATCCATGTGTATATATGATATATCGTTTGGTGCTTTTAGATGCATTTTTTAAACCATATTGGCAGTTGTCGAAAGAAAGATATGGATACATACTTGTCACGTTCGATAAGCGGTCCTTAAATCTTGTCGGTAGAGAAAAAAAAGAGGAATACAAATGCATAAGGGTGGGAAGAGTGAGATAGTGAGGGGGGATTTCTTATGAAGTTACTTCCCTTGCCCTACTAAATATTTTCGTCGATCATTAACGGAATAAGCTGCCAGGCAAAGGAAAATTGCTTTAACTTACAAATGTTATAAAAACGTCATTAGGGTGAAAACAGTCAAATATTTGTATGTATTAATGAACAAAAGTAATCAGCGTAAAACGTTCCCTGTCCTCTATGCATTATACAGATGCATACTACTCTCCCCGGTGGAGACGTTGAAGGTGCTATGTAAGTTTTGATTACACAGGCCTTCATCTGGATGTATTGGATGAATGCATAGACCTAATTTTATTGTAACCATTATATCAACAACTCATGGCTACGCAAAAAGTAGGCGTACACAGACACCATCCATAGCAGGTGATTGTCGATCAGTTGTAAAACGACGTTCCCGAGTGATATGGAGCACCTGTTTTTGCCGCAGCAAGACAATCAAACATGTAGACGTATCATTGCACAACAGATCCGTCAAAAAGAAAGACCGACGACTCTTCTTTGAGACAAGCCACTTCAATAAAACGTTGAATATAATAGGTGTCTCATGTCTTTATTACGATGCTTTGTCATGAATAACCTGTTTCTTTGCTGTTCGAAATTCTATCATTCTATTCCTACATAAACTACAATATTTACGGTTCACCAAAAAGGATGTTACATAACCAAACTTGCAAAAACCATATTCAGGTCAGACATAAAGAAATCACTCACAAAACTCAGAAGATTATTTTTACAATAAGTCCATTAACAATTTGAAACCATTACTTCTTTCTGTAAACCCATCCTTAGGACTGCTAATCTACTTTTATTGGTATGAACTATCGTGGAGTTTGAACCTTTGAAATAGATTATTTCAATAGTTCCGTTTTATATGTACTAATTAGTTTTACCTTTGTGTGTGCAAAAGCACGTGAAACTTCATCAGATCGGACAACTAAACCATCGGCGGATATATCATACCATTCACTTAAAAAAAAGGAACCAAAACACGATAGGAGACTAAACACTTTGGCGTGACGAGTGAATGCTTTAACCACTAGGCTACCCCATCGCATGGATCACTTCGGACCTAGTCTTCACATAGGATCATCTCAGATACCTACCCGTATTCTACTGGGCTCATCTCGTGGCGTTTTAATGCATAACATACCCGTCACCGATTATCAGTCAAGGTTGAGTGTTTAGACCCGTCACTGTTGTTCAAACACGTCCGTATATCTGCAAGCGTCCTTTAAGATCTTCCTCGTCACTGTTGTTCAAATACATCCGTATATCTTCAAGCGTCCTTCAAGGACATATTCGTCACTGTTGTTCAAATACATCCGTATATCTGCAAGCGTTCTTCAAGGTCTTACTCGTCACTGTTGTTCAAATACATCCGTATATCTGCAAGCGTCCTTCAATGTCTTACTCGTCACTGTTGTTCAAATACATCCGTATATCTGCAAGCGTTCTTCAAGGTCTTACTCGTCACTGTTGTTCAAATACATCCGCATATCTGCAAGCGTCCTTCAAGGTCTTACTCGTCACTGTTGTTCAAATACATTAGCACATCTGCAAGCGTCCTTCAAGGTCTTACTCGTCACTGTTGTTCAAATACATCCGTATATCTGCAAGCGTCCTTCAAGGTCTTACTCGTCACTGTTATTCAAATACTTCCGTATATCTGCAAGCGTCCTTCAAGGTCTTACTCGTCACTGTTATCCAAATACTTCCGTATATCTGCAAGAGTCCTTCAAGATCTTACTCGTCACTGTTGTTCAAATACATCCGTATATCTGCAAGCGTCCTTCAAGATCTTACTCGTCACTGTTGTTCAAATACATCCGTATATCTCCAAGCGTCCTTCAAGATCTTACTCGTCACTGATGTTTAAATACATCCGTATATCTGCAAGCGTCCTTCCAGGACTTACCGGTCACTGGTGTTCAAATACATCCGTATATCTGCAAGTGTCCTTCAAGGTCTTACTCGTCACTGTTATTCAAATACTTCCGTATATCTGCAAGCGTCCTTCATGGTCTTACTCGTCACTGTTGTTCAAATACTTCCGTATATCTCCAAGCGTCCTTCCAGGACTTACCAGTCACTGGTGTTCAAATACATCTGTATATCTCCAAGCGTCCTTCCAGGACTTACCGTCACTGTTGTTCAAATACATCCGTATATCTGCAAGTGTCCTTCAAGGTCTTACTCGTCACTGTTATTCAAATACTTCCGTATATCTGCAAGCGTCCTTCATGGTCTTACTCGTCACTGTTGTTCAAATACTTCCGTATATCTCCAAGCGTCCTTGAACGACTTACCGGTCACTGATAGTGTTTTTTTATCTGCCAGCTGCGTGATGAACTTGGTGTGGTTCATCTTACCTCTGTTGCAAGCCGTTCCTGCTGCTATGTGCATACCAGTAACTGATGCCATACATAGCCGTCATTGATGTAAAACAAACCTTTCAATGATTTTATACATATCCGCCATGGCTGCCATGCATATCAATGACAGATTGATACAAACACACCGCTGATTTTGTATAGATCCGTAACTGATGTGAAGCACGTCTCACCCACCCACCACATGTTATACATACCCGTATTTCTGCCAGTAATGTGTTCAGCTTTGCATTCTTCACCTCACTCTTCTTTTTGGCGCGTTTTATGGTCATCATTTCAATATGATGTTTATGATTCACCGTCATTAAGAAACCTGAAATGAACATGTATCATTTAAATTGCGATTTCGAAACGTAAACTACACTGAAACTGTACACATGCAATTAATTCCGGTTTCTATTTTAGGTGGCATACAACCACATACAAAGTTGCATCTTTGGTCTACCAATATCCACTGATCAAGTGTTCGAATCTCTGATTCACAACAAGTCACAACTTGGTTAATGTGTATGATCTACCTGAATTTAGGGTCATGACATTCCCTCAATATAGTCATACACTATGATATAAAAGCATTTAATCCAAAATGATTCCCCATTTCTGGTGTCCCCCGCGGTGATATTGCTGGAATATTGCAAAAAGCGGCGTAAAACAAACATACTCGCACTCGCCCTGTGGTACAAGAAGGGCAATATCAGTCACCAAACTTCAGATCCGAAGTGCTTGTCTCGGTTTCCTTCAATGATTAATTATTGGATCAATCAAACCACACCCAGCTGAACAAAAATGGAACTTGTTCATATCATTTCACACACGCATCACTGTTTTCAAAGTCTCCGAAGGTCGTACCTTGATCACAAACCAGTAGTTGAGACTTGAGCAAAGATCAATAACTCAAGGGTAGGATGATACATTATTATTAAGCTTCTCAAACGCATTCACACAATGAAGGTGCACAACAGTTACTACTTTTGACAGGGGCGGTGGGGTAGTCTAGTGATTAAAGCGTTCGCTCGTCACGCCGAAAACCCGGGTTCGATTCCCCACATGGGTACAATGTGTGAAGCCCATTTCTGGTGTCCCCCGCCGTGATATTGCTGGAATATTGCTAAAAAGCGGCGTAAAACCATACTCACTCACTCACTCCTACTTTTGACAATGCGTTTCATGAGGAATTATCCAGATGACTCACTATTTACAATCCGGACTACTCTCCACGGTAGTAGCAAGACAAGGATGGTTGTAGCATCTTTCCCTGTCTCATACCAGCGGCTATCCAGAAAGATGAAATCCAAGGCAAAGGATGCTATCACTATAAAAGCATCAAATACCTACAACCGAAAACAACTATTTCAACTTTTGGTTCAGGTTTTACCAAAACATGTTCAATATGCCAACGAATTACACTGTTGATACATTATACATAGATAAATACAAAACACCCTCAACCTGTACAATACACGACAGATTGGCCTTATAAAGTAGTCTTTATACTTCTTTTGGGGAGACTATTTACACAACGAGTAAATTCTCTGTCATAAAATAAAAGGCATTATTGTAATCGACAATTATACCAATGGTACGGTTCACTGAATATCAGTGCTAAAACAAGATATTTGGCATGTAATAATGTACTTGTAATACTTGTCTCTCGCATAATTTATATTTATAATCTAAAAGCCAGTGGGTAATTTAGGAGATAATGTAAAATTGAAGTTAATCATGAGAAACTGACTATGATAAAGAGTCGTGGGTTTTTAACCATATGTGATGTTATATCATGTTGTATGTACTTTACAATGAATACACATGCAATAGTACATCATGGTTCATTATAGTTTAAAACATTACATATATTTTGCCAAATGATATTCAATATACATTGTTTAAATGCATCTTACCTCGAATTTTTTCTTGAAAAACTTTAAACCAACACAGAACAGCTTTATGAAAGTCTGAAAACAGAAACAGAAAACAAATATGAAGCAATTCGACAAATGTGGGCATAAAATCTCTTCGTGGGGGAATCTGGCGAACAAGGTAGACAACTCTTGGCGCTGTGTGGAATAACTGTTCTTCCATATCTCTTCAGATGGCTCGAAGATGTGTTTCAGATTCAGTGTGTAACATGCAATATATGTTAGAATCTCTGAACCCAGAGCAGGCTGTACTGAAATACTTTACCAATTGTCCTTAGGTATCCATAGACAAGTGTACAGAAACAAATTGGGCTTGTGGGATATATGTATAACTGCTGCCATGTTATCATATAGTGCTATTTTTACGAATCATATTACCCAACATACTTCTAGGCCAAATGTAGAGATAGCATCAAATGATACACCCAGCCTTCTCACCCATACTGCAGATCTTGACCATGTTAACACCAGTGCTTGTCACTGTCCATTAGACCATGTGGTTAATACTCATGGAGTTGGTCTATGAACATGTGGACACTGTTTCAACAGTGGGGTAAACCTTGTTTTTAAGTAACCTGATACATTCTGTGACTAGTTCCATAACAACAAGAAATTTTGGAGGGTGGGAGGTGTCATACTAATTATGCTGGATAACACCTTTACTGCTGCTGAGAGATCCTAAAAAATAGGGACTTTTCTAGCATTGGCCGAGGACCATACACCTGTTTCTATATTTTTGACAGATATTCTGGTGGTTCACTTGGCTGCAAATAAACTCTATACACTTTCAACATCCTTACGCCTGTGGACATTTCTGTCTGTCTGTTTCATTCTTTACAGAAATCTATATCAATTAGAAAAAGGACATGAAATATTGTTATAGTCAACTTTTGTATTTACCCCAAGTACACTACATCAACATCAGAGCCCCCTGATCTGTTTTGACAATAGGCTTATCCTTCGCACTTCGAACGATTGATCAACATGTGAAGCAATGTAGTCCATATCATCATAGTGTTAAGTAGTTTTTGGTTTTGACAAGTGACTTCGGTGTGCACACCTTGACGAGGGATCAACATCTAAAGCAGCTTAGTCAATATAAAACATATAGGTGATGTTCAGTTTTTCCAAATGGCACACGTAGACGATTGATCAACGTGTAAAGGAGTGCCGCCCATGATGTCATCAAAACTATTAGTAATTATTAACTATCACTAAACGTATCTTAACAAAATAACCACATACCTTCGCAAATATGATATACGCCATGGTTGCTTCTGAACGATATTTCAGACTGTTTAACTGTACTTGCATTGTAAGGTGTTACTGAGTGGGGTATTTGTTATGCATCTTACCGACAGAGATGGTACACATTTTATATACCCGACTTGGAAATGTTTTTTACTTTCGAATGCGAGTTGATTGATACTCAGTTTGGTTCGAAACTGAACACAATTCAAATTCATTTTGCATTACTTAAAACGGAGGAGGATCCAGTCTTCGACACCTCTATCTTCTTGAAAAAATCTTTTGACCAACATATACTCTCCCCAAATAGAAACGCATCATGAAAATAGCAATTTCATGTAGCAATGAATTAAAACGTGATTCATTTTTACAAAAGGTTTTGCTCTGTTTATGAGTCCTATGGTGTTTTTGTTTTGAAACATCACAACAAAACGCACCATCTGTAAAATACCCGTATTTAACAGCATGATTTTCAATTTCGGCGTGCAGTGTCTCAGAATACACAATTCACATGCAATGCACGTGAAAGTTGGGGATCAGATAGTCTTAATGATGGGTGTAAAAGGTTCATCGCTGTCTGTCGATTATTCACAGTATTTGGAATATTGTTGACGAACGCAAAATGCCACGTCTAAGTGAAGCCAACCGTCATATCGCCATTGGTTTGCTTGAAGCTGGCCAGTCTCAACGTGCAGTTGCCCGACGCATGAATGTTCACCAAAGCACCATTTCACGGCTCTGGGAGAGATATCGCCAGCAGAATGCGGTAGCAGATGCCCCTCGTAGTGGGCGACCTCGAGCGACCACTGCGGCGCAGGATCGCTACATCCGGGTACATCACCTGCGTCATCGAACAGCTACGGCGACCAGTACCGCTCGACAAATACCCGGATTGAGGAGGCCTTCTGCACAGACCGTCAGGAACAGGTTGAGAGAGGCTGGTTTACGTGTCAGAAGACCTTATTTTGGCCCTGTGCTTCGACAACAACATCGTTGACATCGAGTTCAATGGTGCACCAACGTTCAGGCCTGGAACCTACCGAATTGGAGTAGAATCTGGTTCTGTGATGAATCACGATTTCTATAGGAACGACGCGATGGAAGAATGCGGGTGTACAGACGTCGACGTGAACGTTTCGCTGACGCTTGCGTTCCCCAGGTGGACAGATTCGGCCGGGGAGGTGTTATGATGTGGGGAGCTATCACCTGCCGTAGGAGAAGTGATTTGGTGATGATCCAGGGCAACCTGACACTTCAACGGTACTGTGATGAAATCCTACGCCCACACCTCCTTCCAATCATTGATCGCCAGAGGGAGTTGTTTCGACAGGACAATGCCAGGCCCCACACAGCACGTCACACTAGAGACTTCCTCCAGAACCACAACATCAATGTGCTCCCCTGGCCCTCAAGATCACCGGACTTAAACCCGATCGAACATCTGTGGGATGCCCTGGACAGACAGGTGCGACGCCGTAACCCTCAGCTCCAGACACTTCAGCAACTCGCACAGGCACGACAGGCAGAGTGGGCTGCGATTTGGCAAAACGAGATTCTGAGACTTATTCTTTCGATGCCGAGGCGATGCCGTGCAGTTCTCGATGCCCACGGTGGTCACACGAGGTATTGACTTCAGCGCCACCACACGTCTCCATGTGACACTCAAACTGACTTTCCTCGAGTTGGTGCCACAGACGGATAAGTCTGCATTCCCAGTGTGAAATTTCGCTATATTTCATTGACTCATAAAGCCTACAAGATATTTCAAAATAAACATAAAAATACAGTTGAAATTCCTATATGTGTTTCTTTTTTGGGAGAGTATATTTACCTCGTTGGTGAAATGGGTGTGATAATCACAAACACGTAATGAGGGGCGACCCTTGATTCGAATCCACGATAAAAGGTGTCTTGTACATCTAAGGGACGTTACGTGATATACTATAATTGTATATCTATGGATATGCATCTCTCAAACCTGTATATATACGTCTATCATATAATACATAGTTTTATCCATACGCCTAATCCATAATAAAATCACAATCCGATATGCAAGGTGACTGTGCTCAGTTACTTCTGCCAATCTTTCCCACTACCTTTATGAAGGGGAGGGTGGGTAGCCTTGTCGTTAAAGTATTCGCTCGTCACGCCAAAGACCCGGGTTCGATTCCCCGCAAGAATACAATTTGCGAGGCCCATTTCTGGTGTTTCCAGCCGCTGGAATATTACTGAAAGCGGTGTAAAACCATACTCGCTCACTCACATTTCTAGGGTTGCTCGATGGGAAAGTATCTCTGTTAACAACATGGCTTTATACCACTCCACGCTAGTGTTGTATACAAAAGATTTTAAATAGAAAATACAAAACCGTTTCCACATCCGTAAGAAGTCTCTGCTAAAAGCAGAGTACAATTCTGACTCTGTCATGAGTATGTGTTGTTTGATGCAGCAAACAGCACTATTACAGCTGTACGACTCGCTCTGCAGACAATCCAGTAATAGACAGTGAAAAAAGTTCATTCCGTGAATGAAATTGCTTAATGATTGATTATTTCAGAAATAATATGATATGGTAAAGAGATTAAAACACATCAAATACGATGGCAGTGAATAGTCCATATCATATTAAGCAATACTAAGAGTTATACTAAACCCTGAACAGTTGGCTTTACAACCTAATACACAGGAGGGCGTTGAAGATCTTAACGGGACTCGAATGTAGGGAAAGAAGCTCTTTCCTTTGTTAAACTGCTCAGGCAACTGCTTGAGAACATCAGGGCTAACCGTCGTGGAAGACTGATCTTCCAACACGACAATGCATCTGCGCACAAATGTCTTGTCGCCATGGATGCAGCGTATGACTGGTCATTGAACAGCCACCCTTTCCATCTGATCATCATCTGGCTCTGAAAGATTCCATCTGTTTCGAAATTTGGGAATTGTCTGATAAGCATTAAGCAAATGATGGTGAAAGATCCTTTCATCAGGAAAAATGCACTCCAGCTTCTTAGGCAAACGCGATTTGTCTTGGGATTAAATGTATGTTAAAACCTAGCATCCAGCTCGACCCTTGTAGTCCATCATAATTAAGCTTTCACCCAGACCTCGAATGCATCACGATTTCTATTCAAGACATTTGGTATTAACGATACGGAAACCTACTTGGCAAACAGTTTCCACATAGTCAACATGTGCCCCACGTATCATCATACTGCTTTGGAATTCCAAAGCTTTAATCTAATTTCTATGTGAACTTGGTCCATAATTTCTGTTTAGAATGTATCTCACAAACTCTATGATTGTTAAAAGATGCGACTACACAAAACATGTATTGGCTTGTTTGTTGTTTAACGCCGCACTCAGCAATATTGCAGCTATATGGCGGCGGTCTGTAAATAATGGAGTCTGGATCAGACGATCTATCACAACTACCAGCTGGACCCAGGATTGTGTGTTATCTGTATATTGTTGGTGCTCGTACTATCCATCATCAGTTTTCAGGTACACAGTCGATGTCACATAGGGTGTTATTGCATAGCTGTGATACATCTTTTAGCAACGCCTGACTCATTTACACATTCCCCGAATACATTGACTCTCTCGTGTTCACATTGACTCCCTCATGCATATTCAAGCATTTGCGAGAAAATCAAACGGAAATGAGAAAAGAGTTGTTCAGTTATCAAATCCCTTCATTTCAGTAATCGTCCACCATTATTAAAGTCAGGATTACCTAGTACAATCATTTATTTAGAGTGAAATCATTAAACTGCAGGAATAATTCT